TCCCTCTTTGAGTTCTCAATCTATTCCTTTTTTTTCTCTTCCGCAGCCTTTGTTTCGCAACTGCCAATGCTATGGATGGTGTTATAGCTTTTAATTCCCTTTTTTCCCCTTTTTCCCTTTTTCCCTCTTCCTCCTCCTCTTGTGGGGTTTAATAGTAAATGGGGGTGCTGCCTTGCCCAGCTCCCATTTATTGTGTATTTTCCCTCTTTGTTGTTGCAAGTTTTTTTTTTTTTTTTGGAGTGGGGGGAGGAGTGGGAAGCAGGCACATGGAAGGAAAAAAAAAAAAAAAAAAGAGGCTCTTTTCTCATTTCCTCCACATATGGCACGTACACATATTTATACACCATATTTATCTGCTCTCTATTTCTTTTTGTGTTATTTATTTGCCTTTGGTTTTTCCTTCGATTCTTTTTTTTTTTTTTTCTTCATTTTCATTTTCTTTTGAGTAGTTTTTTGGCGATGAGGAATTGGGGAGGTGGCACGCGTTGAGAGAGAGAGGATCCGCCAAAAAAAAAAGGAAAAAAAAAAGGCCACGGTGTTTTTTACAGGTCGATTCGGGGATGATGTGAGGCTGCTGGTGGGGAATAATGGACGTGCCTACAAGTCTTCCCCTCTATTTTTTTTTTTCCCTTTCGCTCTCTCTTTTTTCTCTCTATGTGCGCATGCATGCATGCATGGATAATTGCCGTGCAAACATCCTCCGGATGAACGCCAAATGGACAATCCGACACAACGATTACGTCACCGTCATAATTGTTTTAGTTTGGGCTTCGTTTGTGGTTTCTTGCATCACGATTTTTGTTGATTTGAATCGTGTTTTGACCTTGATGACGGAGAGGGGGCCGGCCGCACAGTACGACTCCCCTTCATTGCATAAGCGTTGCCTCAAACGACGCCAATTCTAGACGACCAGGACGGCGATGTATAATTCCATTTATCGTCGTTGTATACATGTGTACAACATATCTGTGTTTTTATGTGTGTTTTCGGTCTACCCGTTTGGACTGACATGTGCGGAAACATCTTGCAGTTATGTGTTGTTGGGTTGCTGTGGCGGCTGTGTGCTTTGCCTCTGGTCAGTTTATTTGGCGTCATGTGTTTTATTTCCGTGTGAATGAACGTGCACAGGGGGAGAGGAAGAGCGACAGGAAAAACGCATGTATAAACTGCCCTTTTTTTTCTTTTGTCTTTCTTTTTCTTCCTTCTCCCGCTTTCTTTTTTTTTTTTTTGTGTGGCCACTGTGAAGAAAAGAGGTGGGCGCAATCAAAAGACTCACGGGGAGGCGAACGGAAGAGAAACGTGATTGTGGGGGATACGAAGGACGGTGGATTAGGATTGCGGTCAAGGTGCAGTGCGATGCTCCGCTGGACAGGTGGCAGCAAAGCCCGAGCGTCTTTTTGGCAACCCTCTGGAGATTACAGTACCGGTTTTCGTGGCGCTGACAATGACATCCACGACAGTCGTTCTCGCAACATTCATCATTGCCATCCGACAACATCGCATGAGTGGCGTTCGCGACACCCGTTTTACTCGGACAACAGGAATGAAACAAAAGGCTTCCCCAGAAGGTCTTATACCAACAGAGATGCTACTGTGGCATCATCGTCTGAGAGTGGCGGTAGGCGGTCCCCTTCCTCGGCAAGAAGAGAAGGCCGAGTGGGTGGGGTGGATTGTATGGCACTGGAGTGGTCATTGAAGGCAGCTGCAGCTGCAGCAGCTTCTTCTTCTGCGAAACTGCAGCGGCAAGAGGCACTTGAAGGATGGAAAAAGCCAACGTGCAACATGGCCGTGGGGCACTCGAGGGCAGAAGATCACTCACTAGCGCTCGGTGATGCGGCGCACCCTGAGTGCCAATGCAACCACGCTGAGTCGACGATGGCAGCCCAAATGGAACCAAGGGGTTTGGAACTTCCTTGCCCGGGCTTTGGTGAGCCACGTGCAGAGGAGACGTGGACGGAGCCGGCGTGTTCGCCGCCATTTCACGTCTCTTCGTGGGAACCGGATGCATGGACACTCTCGGATGCCCCAACTTGGGCTCCGCAGGAGTGTTTCTTGTCGCATCTACCAGAATCTGCTGAGGAGTGGGAGCTGAAGGAGTGTAACGAATTTCCACCGCCTCTGAGTTGGGGAGAGACGCATCATGACCCAATGAATGTCTTTTTGGACCAGCGCACATTCTTCGCCTCGTCCAACGTGCCTCCAGAGGACAAAAAAGTGAATGCATTTCTTGATGAATCCGTAACTGCATGGATGGACGACGACTATCCGTGCGATCTGCTTTGGGAGGAGTATATTGAGCCTGCAGCAGCGAGAGAAGGAGAATGGGGAGGTGTTTGGGACATCCCTATTGTCCCTGGTTGCCTCCCGGGTGCAGCCATCACTCGCACGGGGGAATCGGTCGGCTGCTGGACACCGACCCACAGCGACATATATGCAGAAACTTCCGATCAGGCGTGCTTTGATGGATCTTTGCTTCTTCAAACGCCAAAAGAGTCTTCTTTGGGGAAATGCCGATCGCCAGTGGTCTCAAGGGCAGAACCCAACGCGGTTTTGGCCCTCACCTCGATGCTGCGCGGCATGAATCAAAGCCAAAGGATGCCTTATGCCCACTCCAGGGAATCTTTCACGCATTTAAGCCGCGGCCGGGGAGGTCGAAATTTTGTGCGGTACGGTTCGGATGCTGCCATGCGGGAACCGTATGGTTTTCAGCCCCATTCCGGTCAAATTCTCTCCGATCAGACGCCTGCTGCAGCGAGGGGAGGGGGCATGAGAGGCAGGGGACGAGGCTGGCATCGCGGTTATTCATCGCATCTTTCCGGCGGTGTTCCCTCCTCGAGATTTCAGGCGTTTCAGCGCCGGTACCGCCGGGGCTAGTGGCCTCACAGAGAGACAAATAAACCAACAAAAGAATATGCAAATGAAAGATACAGAATGAAGGATGATGGACGCGCACGTGTCGCGAAGAGTTATGATTTAATTGTTGTAAATACACAGATATTACTTTTTCCTTTTTTATTATTTATTTGTTTATTTATTTTTATTTTCTCTTAGGGCCCTTTATCAATAAATTGTAAACGGATGCCCTTGTATTTTACCTGGCCACCCACTCCTGCAGAGAAGGGAAGGAATGAGTGGAAGGAAAGAACAGAAGCGGAGATGTGACTGCGTCACCTCCCTCTCTCTCTCTTCTTTTTTTTTTTTTTTGTTTTGACTTATGCTTAGCTACCTCGCGTTTGTTGCTTGCAGGCAGACAGGCACACCCGCAGTTTTGCGGATGTTCAAAAACGACAAGAGGATGTGCTCTGCGGTGGGGATTATTCGAATTTTTTTTTTTTTTTACACTTCTGCTTTTTCTTTTTTCCTTTTTTTTTTTTAAATTTATGCAAGGGCTGTGATGAATGCGTGGTTTCATGCGACTCAGGCAAAGTGCGAGGTGGTTTTTGAGATGAAGCTCGCACTTTACGAAGAAGCCTGCGCCTTCCTGGAATCGAGTTGCCATCATGATGCTGGCGATGACGGCGACGGTGATATTAATGGAGGCGGGGCGGAGGCCGCCGAGTTGCTCCCACAGCTGCTGCTTATGGAGAAGATGCGACTCGAAGGGCCACTCAAACCCCCCAAGAGAAGGGGCTTCTTGGACACGATTGAAGAGCAGTTAAACGCCGTATATAATGGGCTGGAGGAGGGATACAATCTGAATGCCGAGGATACACGGGTCTTTGGACACGCGGTGTTCCCCCCACATGTGGTGACTGGCACCGATGTGTCGGATTCAGGCACGGGTTCCAGCGTTGGGCCGCAGCTCTACGGGGAACTCACTTCAAAGGGAGTTCGTCAGCTCCACCGTGCCGTGCTGCAGTGTCTTGAGCGAGTTGGCATTGTTGCCCAGACTGAAGAAGTAAAAGTGGAGGAGCAGGGAACACAAGGCCCGCACCAACCGACTCGTCATGCTGTCGTGGGGGTTGATGTTGGGAGTGGGACGGGGAAGTTGTTGTTTGAGTGGTCCTTGTTGGCTCAGCGAGATGCGATGCTGCCGGCTCATTGGACACATGTGGGTGTGGAGTTGGCGCCCTCACGAATGCAAATTGCCCGCCGCGCCATGAGTGGAAGCGCGTCGCTCGTGTATTCTCCCACAAGGCAGCGGTGGCGCGTGAAGCTGCCGTGCGGAGGTGCGGGTCAGCAGAGGGAGGATGGGGATGTGAAAGTTGTGTTGTGCGAGGCCGATGCCTTCACTCCCGGGCTTCTTTCCAACGAAACATTTGTTCCTCTTGCAGACGGCGGGACAGAAAACGATGCTGCACCGTGTGATTTCAACAAGAAGGTGTCTTCTCATCTTGTGGTGTTCTGTTGCGGCTTGGGGTTTCCAGAGCCTGCCGTTTGTGAGCTATGTGCCTCGCTGGAGCGTATGTGGCAGAAACCACACATGGCGTCATCAGCATGGCAGTCTTTGACTTGTGTCTTTCTGCTCCGTGCCTTTACTGGGCTGCGATCGTTTCCTCTCTTTAGGTTGTGCACGGAGACGACGGGACCTCATGACGCGAGTGTTGGCTCCATTTCCACCATAAAGCTGAACACAACATGGATGGATGAGGCTCCTGCCCGGCTGCTGTCGTTTCGTCGTGTGTGTGACAGGTAGATGGAGTAGAGTGCGCATTTCTAAATGTATACACTGCGTATTTGGAATTTACATTATTGTTATGAATTGCTTTCCGTGGACACACACACACACACATAAGTATTTGGCTAACATTGCAGCCACAGGATTGTACTTACACGCACGCCTATGGCATATCTCTGCCATGCGTGTTTGTTTTCTTGTTTCCATTGCTTTGCCCCGACCTCTTTTTTTTTTTTTTTTTCCCTTTTCTTCACGGCAGCAGGTGCGAGTCCACCTTTACGTTTGGATAAAGCAGCGAGGCAAAAGGACAGGAGATCCGTTAAGAAGAAGAAAAAGGAAAACTACAACAAAAAATAAAAGGACGAAGAGGGAGGGGCGCAAGATGACACCGCTCCTCCATTCTCTGGCGGACCATGTGAGTCTTTTCACTATGGCCGTTGCTATGGGCGGGATTGCCGTCTTCATTTATCACGCGCATCGGGGAGGGAAGTTGGGCAAACTGCTGCCATCCTCCTGCCGTGGCCGTCGTTCGCCCGTGCTCAACGGCGTTGTCGCTGGCCAGCAGCCGGAGATGGCAACGAGGAAGGCGATACATCACATCATGCGCGGGGAGATTGCAACACTGGGCGAGTTGGTGTACTTCTTTCGCGGCGTTGGCAATGAGAAGAAAATTTTCATTGATCCCGTTCTTCTGTCATATCTGCAGCGTCTCTTGGCGGCGGATACCCCGCCGGACGCCATTCCACCTGAGCTTCAGGATGCGCATTTGCGGAAGATGCTGTGTCAGCTTTGTCACTGCAGCGAACAAGCTACCCGTTTAAAGATGGAACGCGCCACATCATTTGATGCTGAGAACCCAGAACACATGCGCCTGCTCAGGGAGTTATGGGCGGCAGCGGGGAAGTTGCCTGCCGACTTTTCCCATCGCAGTGATAAGTGGGTGGAGTTTGGCTTCCAGGGGCTCGATCCCGCAACGGACTTCCGCGGGGGTGGCGTCTTGGCCCTGCGGCAGTTTTTGCACTTTGCTCAAACACACAACGCGGAATTTAAGGAGATGATGACCTTTAACAAGAGGGCTATTGCTGCAGGCGAGGATAGCTGGTATCTTTTGGCCGTTGTCTCCATTCAGTTTACGGCGCAGTTGTTGCTGCAGCAGGATCACACGTTTTATCTACCGCAGCTGGAGGTTTTGTATGACACCATCCGTAGAGAAGACGAGGACAACGAGAAGAAGCTTGGTGTTACGGTGCGCCACGTGGGCGATGCACGTGCGGAAGTGATGGAACGCAGCTGCGGCAACAAGGAAAAGGGCGACACCGGTGGCGGCAATCGGAGCAAAGCGGTTCGCACTCCATGGAGCGAAAAGAGCGACTTTGAGGCGGGCTTTTACTTACTTCATCATCAGCTCCTGCTGCACTTTAAGACGTGCTGGCATCGTGACCTGCCGCACGTGATGGAGTACGGCAAATACATGCCAACAGTATTCCGGAGCTTCTTCGTGCAGGCCTGAGTGCCTGTGCGACGCGGCAGGTGGAGGAAGGGAGCAGAAACAGCTGAGAGAAGGGCGGAATTTTGGTCCGACACGAAGCATGTCTGATGGATGGTCAGTGAGAGGCACCGGCGGCAGCGTTCTCCATCTTTTTTTAATGTTTCAATACGCACCACTCTGTGCAGGTGACTCTGCGTCTGTCGCTGTGTGCATGTGTGCGTCGGTTGTATGACGCACAAAATCAGCTCTCATTGTGGGCAGGCACATTTCCATTCACGCCTCCCCTGTTCTTTTTACCCTTCCCCACCCTACGAGTTTCACCGGTCGTGTAGAATATATAAATATATACATGTTAATATTTCTTTGTACTTGCGGAGAGGACTGTTCTCATTCATCTTCATTTGCAACTTCTCAGGAACTGTTATTACTAAGAACGGAGGGGGGGGGAGGGGAAAAAAAAAAAAAGAAGAAGGGGTGGGGTAGAGGGGTGAAGAAAATAAATAAATAAAATAAAATAAAGGAAGAGTAAAGTTGTGGCGTCCGAGTGTGTGAACAAGTTCGTCCGGGAGAGTCAATTTAACACATACATAAACATACATACACATATATTGAGAGGGAGAAAACGGCGGGGTTTTATATAGGTAGGCAAAACAGAGAACAGGAGTGGTGACAGGAGGATGTCTTTGAATGCGAACGCAAAGGAATGGCGCCCGGCTGGTGAGCTTGCATCGTTCCTGCTTCCGGCTTCCACGAGTGAAAGAGAGTGCAACACTGTTGTAGGGAATGGCGTGGCCGCCGATGTCTCCGCCGACAAGAATGATGCCGCCGTGCCATCGTTGTCGCAAGAAGAGGAGCAACAAAAAGAACAGAAACAATCTCTTGACGCCGTCATGGCGTCCCCGTCATACTACCCTTCTTTCACGCGTGCGGGGTTGTGTGCGGCGGCGGCGGTGGCTGGTGGCGCTGCGGTAGAGCTGGAGGGGGTGAACTGGGCGGAGGAATTTGAGCGTGTCATGGCTCTCACGAAGGAGTTGATTGAGCGTCAGATGAACGGTGAGAGGGATGCCTCCAGTAAGTTGGACGGAGGCCACACGAAGCCGGGCCACAACGTCAGCGCTGAGCAGAACTCACCACAAAAACCACAAGGTGCAGTGAAAGCCATGGACCCCAGCCGGTACCCGGCACTGCCGGGCACGGACGAGGTGAGGCCACTAGTGAGCGGCAAGTGGGTAAACGCACCGGCGGCTCTGCTTTCCAAGTCGAGTGCTAGTGTCAGTGGCGAGGCGCATGCTCGCACAGCACCCGCAGCCGCAGCCGCAGCCATAGCTTCCTCCACCCACCCCTCCCCCGCAGCGGGTGTAACGGAGCTGGACGAGAACGGTAGACCACTTCCCCCGCTCACCTCGAAGGGCAACCGGAGGTGGAAGAAACCCACGAAGGCACAACAAAAACGTGAGATGGCTCAAAAGAATGCCTTTGAGGCCTTTGCAAATGCTCTGTTGCACAGTGTCTCCCCGTTTATGGCGCCGCTACGAGAGCGATGCAAAACATCTCTTCCACACATTAAGGTTGACCAGCGGTTTGGGAAAAGTGGGCAGCCACAGACGGCCGTGGCACAATTTGTCGTAGCCCCACTGATCACGAACTACCGACCGCGGCATTTCCATGACCTTACCCCTGGCGACCTGATGGAGTTCCATTACGACTTTGCTCAGGTATTGAAGCAACTTAAATCCGCAAATGCCATTCTTTTTGGGTATGGTCCGGTATGGAAACGTTATGCGGTGCCTTACTGCTATGTGAACTGCAAGGAATACCGGCAGGAGGTGTTAAACCTGTGCCCAGACGAGGTTCCCAACATGCGTGTGGAGGCCATATATGAAGATGATATACTGAAGGACATCACAAACGTAGTGCTTGCTGTGGAGGAGCTGGAACCATTGCACAATATGTCAATTATTCAGGCAATGAGCCGTCGTGTTAACTTAGCCCCTCTTTTTGACGCATTTGACACCATATTTAAACCAATCGAAAATTACCGCATTGTCATACGCGATTTACACCGCGCTCCATCTACATATCTGATTCAGACTTCTAATCACGAGATCCAACAAAAGCCATCTCCCCTCGTGCTATACAACGACCCCAATCTGTGGTACGAGCTTCCCGTCGTCAGCCGCATAAAAGTGGAGGAAAAAACAACAGGGGATGCCCTGGAGCACCATGCAGTGGGGTCAGCGACGACTTCTGCCTCCACCAAAAATGCAAAGGGGAAATCCAATGTCGTCCCGAACACCAGGAATGGTCACTTTATTTCAGCCGAGTGCGGCCCTCGAAGTAAGCGCAGCAACCCGGGTGAAATCTCCTCGTTGGCTCTGGTGGCACCAGTGGTGGGGAGCGTTCTTTGCGTGTTCATGACGGCCTTTATTTTGTGGCGGCGAAAGTCCAGTCGTTAGTCTCCCGCCCACACTGCGTCCCTGTCAACATGTCTGGAAGTTCACAGGCGGAGCGTCTCAAGACTCTCAGTGTTTGTGTGTGTGTGTATATGGAGCGTTGCGGCCCGTTTCGCTGCAACAAGGCGAAGAGTGAGGGGCCAAGAGAACGTAAAAAAAGAAAAAAACAACAACAAAAAACAAAAGACAAAATAAAAATGCAGCCACAACAGCAAAGGGTTGGGATCCAATGGAAGGGGAGACGCATTAAAGGCGTGCACACGGGCGAAGACAATTAACCACGAGCGCTAACGAACTAGAAGCAAGAAGGAAAAAAAAAAAAACAGAGTACATGAGACGCAAGAATAAAGGAAAAATAAAGAAAGAGAGAGAAGAAAGGAGAAAAAAAGAAAAGAGGCGAAACAATTACCCGGCAACGACACCATAATGCGAGGAATAAGCGCATGCATTCGCAGATGAATCATTGATGGCAGTGCAGTGCGGTCTCTTGTTAGTCGACCATTGTCCGTGGAGACGATGGCAGTCAATCAACAAATGATCGCTTAAAAAAAAAAAAAAGAGAAGAGAGGGGGGAAAAAAAAGGTGAGGGACGAAGAGGAACTGCTCTCATCATCTACGCTTGCACGAATTCTTGTTGAAACGTTTTTGCACGCCTCTCGCCACCTAATGGTATTTGTAACCAACCGATCCACCTTCTCTAAAACGGCGCAAATGCTTTTTCAGGTGTTTAATATAACCTACGTTTTTACCGTGGCATGTCTCCACTGTCATGCGCTGTCTTCCCCTTCTTCCTGTCTCTTTTTGTTTTTTCCCCTTTTTTTTCCCTTCATTTCCCTCTGCGTTCCCAAAGTATTTGAGTCTACCACTAGCTATATTGAAGCACCGAGACGAGATGCGAGTCCCTGAGTGCGCACCGTCTGTGACCGCGAGTTTGTTGTCTACACACGCGCTGTACTGGCTTGCGTGCTGCGGCGTTCTGCTGCGCTGCCCGACATGCACCGCTGCCCAGATGTTCATTGTGCATACCCCTCACGTTTCGTACGATGAGGCCCGTGCGACGTGCAGTAGCCCTGGCGGGGGTCCAGTGGAGGCACGCATTCCGGCGATCGAGACGAAATACGTTTTTTTGTTGAGGACTTAGTCTGGACATTTAAGGAATATCATTTTCTTCCTTTTTGGGAGCCGTGACGACTGCGGCCTGTAGCCGCGTGAAATTTTTAACTGTGCGTGGTGCTGGAGGCAGAATTGGAGGAAGCGATGCGATTTGGGCTCTTTCTTTTACCTCTCAGCTCTGAGAGTGTTGGACCGACTGGTGTCTGGCATGTAAGGGAATTGGGGCCTCTCCTTCCCGAGCGGTCCTCGTGCCCGTCGGGTTCTTACACTTCGCTAATTTCTGGACGCCTGGGCGAACTCGTTGTACCGGCCTCCTTTCAGGGTGATGCACACGTTGTGCCAGTTCGAGGACCCCACCGTCACTACCGTTGCTGCTGATTCATTTGTAAAGGAAACATCGACGATGGTTTCTGGCTCATCATTGTTTTTTTCTTTGCCAGACGGGTGGCTGGTTGCGATTGACCGACGCGGCGTGAAGGGCAACTGATGGGCTATTGAGGCCGTGCTATTTATTTTTCGTGGCACACTGACGTCGGTCCTGTCGTACCTTGCCCTGCGACCCGATCCCGAGAAGGAGGAGTAAAATTTCGGAGAGACTGATGAGCATGAGGAAGATTGGGAGGAGGAAAAGGGAGTTGCACTGAAGCGCTGTGTAGAGAGGAATGGACGGCATCAATTTGACTTACTGAGCTTCTGGTGGATATTTTTCACCATGTTGCCGTTGACAGCGATGCTTCTAGAATCTGCATGACGGTATATATATATAATGATGTTGATTTGTTTACTGGGATGCATTTTTTATTACTTTTTTTTTCTTCTTTTTCTCTTTTCACGGTTTTATTTCCAGCTGGTTTTGTTTTAATTAACTTCTTCATTCTTATTATTATTATTATTATTTTATTTGTGCGTCATGGATTTAGTTGTGAGACGCTGAGGCTTTTTTTTTTTTTTTGGCTTCTGGCCGTTGGCGAGGAGGTGTTGTTGGGTGCATTGTTTTTTGTTTGGGTGAAACCGCATGTGATTTCCGTGCCGTAGCAGCGTGAATTTAGGAGGTACCTGTTGTCGTTTGTCTGTGAGCAGGACACCTTTGCTTTAATTGTTCTTTTTGTTTTCTTTGGGAGGCGGGTGAAGGGCATTTTTGTTTACCTTTTTTTTTTTTTTTTTTAGGGAGCAGCCCACACACACACACACGCAGGCGTACGCAGGCCTAAGAGGATCATGCCCCATAGGATGGGTATTGGTCTTGTTGAGCGTCATCGTGGGGGGATTTCAAGGGAACTGCCTGGCCCCGCCGCTGCTGCTGCTGCTGCTGCTAGTGGTGTTGGTGGTGGTGTCATTGACGAGGGGGACAATTACGATGAGGGGCCACGACCGAGTTCTTTTGTGCCGACGCCAGAGCCTCGTGTACCTGCCACGGCTTCCACTGCTGCTTCTGCGTCCTTCTTGCATGCCGGCATCTCCACGTCTCCCCGTTCAACGAGGGCGGAGCGGAACACACTTGGGGGATCGTTGTCCATGTCACCTGTGATGGATGGGGCATCGCTTCGTCGTCAGGTGCGGAGACGGTCCTCCGTCGCTCACGTGCGGCGGCTGGATCTCAGCACGACGGTGATGGATGGTGTGGAGTGGAGCTGGCTTTGTCGGGATGTGCTGCCAACGATGTCGAGCCTGATTTACTTGGGATTGGCACACATGGGACTCACAGACAAACGACTCGTGGAACTCATTCGCGAGTGCCATTTAGATTCTGTGAGCCGCAGTACGGCGCTGCCATTATCTTCCTCATCATCACTTTTGTCAAGACGGTCAGGGGGTCGTGTGGCGTCAAAGTCTATCATGTTTGGCGATGCGTCTTCTTCCCCAACGTCACGTGAATTTAGTGCTGGAAGAAAGAAACCTGCAAGGGCGTTGCCGACGGCTACGGGGGCGCGTGGAAGACGTGAATTGCGTGGACTGAGCGTGTTGGATTTAAGGGGGAATCATCTAACGCACCGCAGTGCAGCTCCTCTCGGAAAGCTTCTTCTTTGCGTGGCAGACACCCTGGACGAGCTACACTTATCGGGGAATCCTTTGCAGGACTATGGGCTTCAAATCTTGGGGATTTATTTGGCCAAATTGAAGCTTACGTCCCTGCGTAACGAGCAACACTTTTTCTCACCGTCGCTGGTGCAGCAGTATGCGGCAATTCTCAAAAGGAAGAAGAGAGAGGCTGAACACGAGGTGAGGCTGCGGCACGGTGTACTTCAGGGACCAACCCACACCAAGACGGACGAGTGGCTGCGTGGGGAGAATGGAGGACGAAACGCGAAGGAAGAAGAAGATGATGCCTGCGGTGAGGCGAAAATTCATTTGGGAATTTCATTCCTGGACCTGCGAGATTGTCAGGGCTCCGCACGGGGAATTTCGGAGGTGCTCGCTGGTGCCAGTCGTGCCCACCGATTGGAAACCATTCTGTTAGCAGGCAATGGGGCCTTAGCAGCAGCGCTTATTCCTCCCAAATCAACATGTACGGATGGAGAGATGTCACCGTTGGCAACAGGAAACAGAGGTGAGGGGCCTTCAGAGACAAACCCGTCGCCTACAGCGAATCGATTTTCTAGTTTTCAAGAACTCCAATACCCATGCGCGTTATCAGCTGTAAACCTTTGCAGGGTACCATTATCGATCATGTGTACACCCATTGGCTGCCGCGAGCTTTTTTTAAACATATTTTTTTGTTGCCCCAAATTGATCCTGTTGGATGTCTCACGGAGCCTTGACTTTTCGAAACTGCCAAATTCGCTGCTGCAGCAGGTCCTGATGGATGGAAGAGAACCTTCGAGTGACCCACGTACCTATTGGCGCCTGCAGCGGGAGTTGGAGGGGGTGGCGGAGTTTACGCTAGATGCAGTGATGATTGGTCGCCAATCGTGCGTGGGAAGCATTCTTTGTGAATTGGTCGCACATGCGGCATTTAACGCGCAGCGACGGCAAACTGTGGCTCCTTCCGCATTTTGTCACTTGAAGGAGTTGTACCTAAATGGTACGGGAGTTACTGACGTGGCGGTACGAGGTTTGGCGATTGCCGTATCCTCTTCGGGGTCGACGGGCGTTCTTTCTAGTCTCACGGTGCTTGACATGGCGGATAACCTCCTGACAGTTAATGGCTGTTTGCAGGTTATGCATGCCTTTATCCTTGATTGGCCAGTGACCCCTTCTGTGTTGTCAACCCTGGCGCTTCAGGGAAATGCTGGGATTTATCATGATGATAATGACACCATTCTGCTGCTTCAGCAGGTTGCCGAGGCTGCTGTGCAGAAGCGGCGTGAAGAAAGACAACGGCGTGATCCTGTCGACGGAAAGGGATTCCCATCGCCGCTGAGCATTTATCTCGGTGCTGTGCATGCAGCAATCTTCAGCATCTCAAGCGGCGGGGTGACGGCCTCGACTGGGGTGCCACGCACACATACCACCCGTTCTTCTTGGCGAACTGAAGGGGACAACATAGCGGCAGCAGCAGCGGAAGAAAAGGAAACCGTGAAAATGGCGAGGAAACGGGAGCAAGGCGAGGTGTTGGCGGTACATGAGAGTGATTTCGATAGGGAATTCCCGACGTTTCAGCTCGGAGAAGTTGGGCCAGCGCCGTCTCCACAGAAGGCGGTGAGGCCGTTGATGGAGGGACCAGTGGGTGCTTCGTTCATTTCTCCACTTGGCGCACAAATGGCGGCGCCCTGCGATGTTAGCTCTATCCCACCCGGAGAGACCCCGCGGCAATTTCTCTTCTCCATGCCGTCGACACCATTGATGCCGCAGCGCACGGCGGATCGGTTACGTCCACCCGATCAACAGAACAGGACACCGCTGCGACAAGAAATCAAAGAGGGAGGGCAGCGGCGTAGGAGTTTCCCCATTTTGTCGCCATTGGTTGTAGATGATAGTTCGTTTATTGCCGGAGGATCCACCACGGAATTCATCGCGGGAGAGACGCATCGTGGTTCAGTCTTTAATATCCAGCCGCCAACAGGGGTTTCCTCACCGAGTAGAGGAGCCGGTGTTGTGCCTCGTTTGACGTTAGCAAAAGGAGATGACCGGCGGGCAATGGACGTCGCGACCGCCACACATGGGCGTTACTGCAACGGTGGACGCGGGATAACACCACCGTCATCCACAACAAATGATCATCCTGTGCTACAAGACAGACAGACTGCTGTGCAGAGAGAAACATCATTCACGTTGGCTTCTTCTCCCAATTCCAAGGCGTTTAAATTTGGCTGTCTCTTTGCCTCCATGGACGTTAGCAAGGGTCGCGACAGCAACGTGGAGAAGGGAAATGCTTTGACCAGATCTCGTGTTAGCGGGGAGGAAATTAACAAATATAATGATGGTGGTGGTGGTGGTGAAACTGATGCTGGGGAGAAGGGAGCACGTGTAATGCCTGAAACCGCGAAAGTTTTGACTTTGCACGGAGATAAAATCCTGGGGCTGAAGGAAGCTGAGGATGGTGAGTCACCAGTAACGGTGTCGTATGGTGGCGGTGCTGTTGGGCGTGAGAGGCAGACAGCATCAAAAGTAGAGGTCACAAGCAGCGCTGTGGACGGGAAATGGAGGATGAACACTGCTGCGAGGCTCGGTCGCTTGCAGAAACAATTTTTGAGTGAGCCTCTGGATGAGTCGGACCGTCCAGTGATGATGATGACATCAACAGCTCATTTTCGCTCGGATAAAACCGACACGGATGATTCTACCGCTGTTGCCACTGCCGGCAAAGATGCCACCGTGATGAAACCGGAGCCAATCCAAGATTTACTGTTGCAGAAAAATGGAATAGGGGAGGAGAACATGCGTTCCGACCCTGTGATACCGGCATTGGGTAACCTCGATGACATGGAGACGGCATCTTTGAGACCGATAAAAGGACGTCGTGAGAAGAGCTTTGTCATGTCCTATTACCACCCCATGGGGCACATACTCTGTCGTGGCTGGCGCCTACTGTATCGCAACGATTCAGTTGGCGAAGATGCCCGGGGATGTGTTGAGCGTGATGTGTGGACGCTTCTGCAGCCACTGGATACAGAACAGGGAAGTGCGGTGGTGAGTTCCGTCTCGTTTGTGGTGCCATCGGCGGAAGACATGGATAACGATGCGGAGTACGGCATCACAAGACTAAAAATTGTCTCCAATGAGCGTCGCTCCGTGCTAGCAGAACGGTTACAGCATAACGCAAACATGGAAAATGGGATAATTGCCTTTCCGAGGCTTATTGCGGCAATTCGGCGAGCCGAGGAGGACACCGTGGATGTGATTGCAGCCATGCTTGACGCGGCTCATGGTAGACTTCCTCCAGAATACGTGGGATGCACTGCGGAGGAATTGGTGCACGGGCGGCACGGTAACGAGGACGAGTTAATGGCTGAACTTGGAGCGGCCATTGCTGCCGGCGGCAGCGATGAGGAATCACAGGCGTCATTCAATGAGGAGGAATGTGCGGCGGACCAACTGCCTTCCTTCTCCAGCACCGTTGATGCCTTTCCTCTCGCTGAGGAGCCCGTTGAGGGAATCGCGGAGGACTCGCAGTTGCTTCAGTCGCAGAAACAAACAACGAAGTTGAGGGAGAAATCCGAAGAGGCAGAGGAGGAGGCAATAATGCCGAGTGCCGCCTTATCTCATGAATCCCCTTTATTTAACGTGGCTGATAGGCCACAGGCAACTTCAGTGAGCGCAGAGGAACCGCCGGCAGACACACCGGAAACGGCTTCTCCTGCGGGAATCACGGTGCAGCTTGACACGGGGCCAACGACCAGCGCTCATGCTGCATCAGCAACAACTGCGGGGGTGGGTGAGGCGATGAATCAACCGGCGCGGAGTGTGGTTGGCCGAATGAAGACATTTTTGTTTTCTTTTCCGCATCGTGAAGGTCACTGCCTCTGCCGAGGCTGGCGTCTCTTGCATCGTCCAGACTCTGTTGGCGAAGAGGCACGACGGCTACTGGAGGCGGATGTGTTGTCGTTTCTGCGGCCAGCAACTGAGGAGGAAGAAAAGAACGCCGATAACGATACCAGAAAAATTTCTGGCGATGTTTATGATGATGCGTCTGCAATGAAGGCTGTCGAGTCGGTGTCCTTTACGTGGGAAGGGTCTTCGTCGTCTACTATGCAGCTACAGGTGGTGACCAGCGAGCGTCGCGCCGTCATTTCACAACGAATACAGCAAAACGTCGTTGGGGATGAAGGGATGTTGCCACGCTTTTTGGAGCTTCTTCGCAGCAACGCAAATTACGACACCATCCATGCCGTGGAAACGTATTTGCAGCGACAGGCCTCGGTGGATTTACGGGAGCGCATTGCCAACCGTTACCGTTCCATCGGGACGCTAGTCCATTACTATCACGGCGATGAGGCCGCCATGTTAGTGGAGATTGGTGCGGCAAGTATGGTTGATGTGGAGGCCACTGTCGCTCCTGCAGCTGCTGATTCTGCTGCTGTTACGTCGATACCGTCGCGGGAAATCCTTGAGGGTGAGTCTGAACGCGGCGCCAAGGAGGTGATGGCGACGGGAGACGGTGAGGAAGCACACCGGCTGCTGGAATGCGGGGATGGGGTTCAGGGGCTAAATGAATCATCGCTGCATTTGCAGGAGACGTTGACGGGGATTCACAGCAACGAGAATGTTGTGGAGAAGGAAGACCACCACACGGCAGAAAATACGCCCTTGTCCCGCCGTTCCCCCCTCTCCTTTCTGACCCTTTCGACGCCCATTCAACGCGAGGGAGATGGACGCAGCGTAGAGTTGACACCACACGGAGGTAAAAGTGGCAGCAGCCAACACATTCACAACAGTGCCGCCAACAAGAGCGAGAAGACGGTCACGAAGAATGAGGATGTCAGCAGTCCTTCAGCACACATGCAGGAGGCCTTTGCGGAGAGAGTCCGTCGTTTACAATATCTAGCATACAGTGCGATGGCCAAGGGTGCGATTCTATTGGATAAGCGCCAGAGGCACAAGCTGCGCATCTGTAAAGGAAAATGGGGCCGACAGCCCGTCACGATTGCTGTGGAGTGGGATGTATTTCTTGTGGTATATTTTTTGAGGGGCACGAGATTTGGCATGAAGTCGCACAAGACCCTCGTGTTGGTGCACCCTGTGGCCTCTGGGGTGCGGTGCTGTGTTGATGTTGACAACAACGTTGGAGGCCGTGTGCATGCGATACGCATCCGATTAGAGCGTGCACATTCCCCGGATGAGTTGGGAGTGCCCTTGCAGGAAATAGAAGAAAGGCTGCATTCGGTGTCGATGCTCAATTCTCGCTCGAGGTCTATGGCATCTTTACATGCCAGTTTGATACCAATGCAGAGTGTGACAAACATGAGTATTGGAAGCAAATCGTCGTCTGTTGACACCGTCGATTCTGTGCTGTCGGCGCCAAGCACGGAGCGGCTCCTGCAGCGATCCGTGTCTTTTCAAGTGACTCTGAGTGATACGAAAAAGGCCCGTGAGGCGGTTGCCGCGATTTGCGGCGTGGTGCAGCATGCAGTGAAGATGATACAGCAGACGATCTCCGAGCAGGATCGCCATGCCGTGGCCCGCCCACTTCCTGCAACGCGGACAAATTAGAAGAGACGAGGTGAAAATATCTTCATATATTATACGCACACGCACATGCCTAACGAAATGCGTACATGCCCAATTCACGTATGAACGTGTGTGTGTGTGTGTGTGGCTGTATTGCACTTTATTCCTGGCGCCACTGCAGCTTTTCTCATGTTCTTTGTATTTGTTTATAGCGAGCAACGTGGAATAAGCGCTTTTGATGGAGTCCGTCCGTGTGGGATGATCCACGCCTCCAAGAAAACGGGGAGGCGACAACAAACAAAAACGAAAGAAATGAAGAGCGGACGGCTTCGTTCCTGGTTTTTTGATTTCTTTTTTTCTTTTTTTCCCTGCTGATTCTCCTCCTTTTTTAAACCTCTTTTCTTCCGTGGTGGCCACGCCCTCGATGCCACATTTCTGTTCGCCACTTTTCACGTTTGATCTCCACGCCGGCACGGCGTGTTTCCTCCCGTTTTTTTTTGTTTTTTCCTCATTTCTGTGCGCTGCCGTCTCACTTTGACGCTCTTCACATCCCTTGCCCAACGTCACACACACCAAGAGAGAAAGATAAATGTACAAGAAGGCCCTTCACTCTTTCTTCCTGAAGGTTCACCCGGATTTTTTCCACCACAACCGCAGCCAACAGCTGGTGAACGAGAACTCCGTGGCGCGCCTCAATGAGTTGCTGAGTTGGGCCAAGGCGTTTAAGAGCGGCACGCTACGCCCGCCCCCGGCGACATCCATCACGCTGGCCTTCTACACGAAACCCGACGACGGTGGCGTGGGTGAGGATGCACCAGGAGGCAACCAGCAAAGGGCGGCGCCATCCTCCTCCTTCTCCCAAGGCGGGTTTAAGGCAGAGAAATCGTCGTCGCCGTTTCTCATTGAGTCCACGTTTGAGCTGGCAGACAACTTCACTCCGGACGACGCCCATCGGGGCTCGGTGGAACGATCCGTCAACAAGTTCCTGCGGGACCTGCTGCGGCGGGCAGCATGCATCGACGGCATCACAGAGTCCATCTCCAGCGCAGAGGACGCGACGGCGGAGCGTGCGGAGGCAAGACCACTGCGGCGGCGCCCCGGTCCACATCGACGCAAGGTTGAGAAGCCTAAGTCCCTTTTGGATGAGGCGACAGAGAGCATGACGTTGCAGTGGAGCATCACCCCGGCACCAACGCTGGATGAACTGATGGAGGCGGATCAAATTCTTTTTGCACGTGAACTGTCCCCTTTGCAATCTGCCTCTGCACTTCACACGCTGCGCCAACATCTTGGGGAGCTTCGATACCCGGCATGGGAGTCTATGCCACTGATCATATCGAACGAATTCAACATTGGCGAGGTCGCAGGGACTTTAACGATTCCATGGGACTTCACCCCTTTACAATTTCTTGCCTTTCTTGCACGGAACGATAAGGCCATTCTACATTGCCGTGAGGCCGCTATGCGTTTTGCGAATACGATGGAACAACTCATTTCCGAAATTAGTCACGAACTTGACTTGGACGATATTTTGATATCTTGTAGCCATAAGGATGCCATTTTGGTGTTGCAACTGCTGCAGCGCAACAAGGAACTTCTTCGTGGCTATGGTTTAACTGATCTCACACTGGAAATTGGGACACGGCATGCCATGCGGGCCAATGGTGTGGTGATCATCAGTTGCGAACTCACCGCCGACGAGCTGCGCCCATGGCTAAAGAAGTTACAGCCCAAGCTTGCCTTACATAAACGCCTTTACCGGATCTCAAAGCAACTATTAGAGGCGACAATGTGGCATTTAAAGGAATTTCGAACGATGGCTGAACCGGGCGGCATTGACGCTTTTAATAACGACTACACATATGCCCAAAGGCTGGAATGGGCGAAGGAATTGTTTCGCATCGGTTCATCGTTGGCCCCATGGGACTGGAAGGAAATCACATTTGTACTTGCCCCTGATGTGGATGTTGACTGGGCGAAAGGGCTCATTGCTCTCCCCTATAATTTTAATGGGGATGCCTTTGTACGTTACGTTGAGGAGGTTCAGCACGAGGCCAAGAGACGCAAGCGGGAGGAACTTCTAGAGGACGATGCGATGCGACGTCAGGGGGCTGAAGACAAGCGGCAGCAGGAGCATGACGAGGAGTTGATGGTTCAAGCTGACGAAAATAAAGAGAGCGGAGAAAAGTTATCTCAGGATTACTTGCGTGACATGTACAGGCGGACGAGTCCACATATGGAGGAATACCTGGCGTCTAGTAGTCACCGCGTGGACACGCTGTCGGTGGAGCGGCCACTCTCACACGCCGTGACGTTTAACTCCGACGCCGAGGCTGAAGACCAGCTGAAGTGGGAAGGGTTCTATGCGGATCCATACGTGGACCAAGTGCCTACAGGCGATCTGGACGACGTTGCCCACACGTTCATGCTAACAAACCGCTGGCACCGCGAGGAGGCGGCGAAGAAAATGCTCGAACAGCTGCGTGACAGTTACGGGAAGAAAAGCCGCCGATTTGATTATCAGAAGATGGGCGATGTGCTGGAAATTAACAACGCCAAAGTGCAGCCAAAGGGATTTCCAACGATTCCGAGGGGATTAAGACCAACCCAGTAGAAGAGGAAGAACCACACCGGGTATATACAATATATACATATATGTATATCTGCGAGGCGATGGAAGAAACTGCAGTGAGTGTCTGGTAAATAACAATCAAAAAAAAAAAAAAAAGGGTGGTGCGGGTGGTGGAGAGAAGAAAGCCATGACTTGGGACCTTTTCTCGTTTTAGTTCTGCGTGTGTGTGTTTGTGTGTGTGGAGAGGGCCATGCAGAAGTTTCATGAAATGCAACCTGGCCGACGCCTGAGGGGTGGTCAAGGCGTCGCTTGCACCACATGTTCTGATGGCATCTTCTGGTTATAATTTCTTTTTTTAATTTCCTTCTTTTTTCTTTTTTCTTTTTTAGGGCAGAAAGCTGAAGCGAAACAGCAACAAGAAGAACAAAACAGAATGGGCCGGAACCCATTTTTGAACGCAGTTTGCCAGCGCCCTTAGCGGAACCGTGTTACCCCGCCGACGGGATTTTTCCACCGTGTCAGCTGCATTGGGTGTCAAAGGTCCGCGAGATTGTCTGCTCCCTCCCTTTTTTTTTTCTCTCTCTCTCTGTGCTTTTGTGTGTGCCAGTGGTTCATGTAGCGCCCCTCACCCCTTGTGCAATGATGCAATATCCTCAGCTGCGTTCTTTCGGAGTGCGTGCAGCGTGACCGAAAACAGCGAGACACAAGAAGCCAAAGAATTACTGATTTTCCCACTTTCTTAGCGGAACCGTGTTACCCCGCCGACGGGACTTTTCCACCGTGTCAGCTGCATTGGGTGTCAAAGGTCCGCGAGATTGTCCGCTCCCTCCCTTTTTTTTTTTTTCTCTCTCTCTCTCTCTCTCTTTGTGTGTGTTTTTCTTTTTTTTTTGTGCTTTGCCCCTTTTCGCATTGTAATTTTGATTAAATGCGTCCTTTTTTTTCTTTATGTTGCGTGTGCAGGCGTTGCACACGGCAGCAGTTGGAGTGAGCAGGGAGCATAGCGATTAACAGGGTGGAAAGAAAGAGGAGGCACGAAAAAAAAAAAAAAAAAAGGTAGAAAACGACTATATGCCGGAAACGGAATACCCGACATGGGCCATTGCTGCAGTGGCGGTATTTGGCCGTCACACTACCCCGCTGTTCATACGCACCTTCATCTCTCCGCGGGAGGTACTTGAGCACCCGGATGCCGCCACGTGCGCAAACCTTTATGCTGGCGAGGAGGATGTTGTGCGTCTACATTTCCTTTTGTTTTCCTCGCTGGATCGATGCGATGACATTTTACGTGAGCGGCGAAAGCAACAACAGCTGGAAAAGGGGAGTTCTATTGCTTCTCGACAAGGCCCCGGTAGTCTCAGGACGGTGGTTGGGGTATCTGCGGGTGCGGATGTTCGTTTTCTTGGCAGGCTCCTGCGAAATCACAAGTTTACTTCCTACGGTTTCCAGTCCGCCTCCGGTATACGGACGATCTTGGCGATTGTGGGCGACATCCCACTGGACGCGGTTTTGCCGCTTTGCCGCTCAACTTACGAGGCGGCATCGGCGGCGCTCTGCAATCCGTTTCGAACCCCACGCATGCACGCGCACCTGCTGCAGTCGTGGTCCAAGTCGGGATCGCAAGAACCAACTATTCTTCCAGCAGAATACGCGGAAAATTTGAGAGCTGCGCCGACGCCAGAGAGAGTGGCGGAGGAACCCTCACTGGCGTATTCGCACGGGTTTAGGGAGCAGATACGGACGATAATTGAGCCATTCACGGTAACGGCACGCAGTGCTCTGATCTGATTTCTAGCCGGTCTCTTGTTTCTCTTATATCTATATATATATGTGTGTTTTATATGCGTTTTTTCTGGCGTTGCTCGCCTTTCTTTTCCCTCTTTGCATCTCTTTCTCTCTCTCGCTGTGTGTGCGTGTGGATTTTTTCTTTCTTTCATTCCCTTTTTTTTTTTAAATCGGTTGTGGAATTTGTGGCGCCCTGCAGTTTTGGTGGCCGTATATTCAAGGAGCCTTGTCTGCAGCGGGTCCACCAGCACCTGTAAAGGCGGAGGGCACGCTTCACATATCCATTTATTTATTTATTTATATTTTAGGGCAAGAGGGGAAAAACAAGGGAGGAGCAGCGAGGGGAATTTTTTACATTTTTCTTCCCCTTTCTCCCGTGTTTGTTTCTTTTTTTTTCTTGCGTTGGTAGAACGAGGGGTGAGTTGCCGGACGTGAGGAAAAAAAAAGAGTGAAAAAAAAAAAAAAGAGGACCGACGGCATCGTGAGGGGAAACGAGGCGACAATAAAAAAAAAAAAAAATAAAACAAAACAAAACAACAAAAAAGAAAAACAGGCGGCTTGTGGGCATTTGAAGGGTGGGAAAAAAAAAAAAAAAAAGACTTCACCCGGCCATCGTCGAGCGAACACACAAGCACAGGAATAGAGAAGAAGAAGGAAAAAAAAAAAAAAAGGGAAAAACAACAGAAAAGGGAGGGGATAGAGGCAGGAGGGACACAACACGTGGGTACATATACATATATATTGTAACACCTAGTGACCAACCCACTTATTTATTTATTTGTTGTTTTGCACAGAGTGAAAGGAGGAAAGGGGGGCGTAAGGACACAAGTCATTAAGAAGAAAAACCCACAACGGGAGGCAGAAAAAGAAAAAGAAGAGGGAGAAAAGAAAAGGAAAAAAAAGAGGGAAAACCGTGAGGGCGGCGGGTGACATAAGCAGCAAATTAGAGTGGCAGGGGGGTATCCACCAAAGAAACAAACAAACAAATACAAAAAAGAAGGAAACACACTGGGGAGGCGAAGTTTTTATTAGGGCTTTCCAAAGGAAAAAAAAAAAAAAGAAGACACTCATCGCACCCCTCAAACAAAACAAGAGGGAGGGACGTATAAATAAAACTGCTGCAGTTTTTTTGTTCAGTTGTTTCTGTCTGTGTTGACCCGTTTGGACTCGCACCTGAGGTGGGGAAATCGGCAGGATGGAGAATCATGGGGTGGCTGAGGTTGACCTTCTCGCGGAGCAGCTGTACGCGGACCCCGACCCAACGGTTCGCCGGCGTGCACAGGCGACACTGGGGGTGCTTGCCAAGGAAGAGACCGATAGTCATCTTTACTACGCCATTCTCCGGCAATCCAACAGTCAGTATACACTTCTGCTCATTGCACAGAGTATTGTGTCGTGGTTTAGGTCCACACGGAAGTGGATGAGTTCGGAGGAACAGCGAGAATTGATTGTGGTGCACTGTGGCGGTTGTCTGACACGTATGTTTGATACTGGGGCACCCAAACACGTGGTGTCAAGTCTGCTCACAGCCTACGCGAGATTGACGAAACTTGCCTTTGAGAACGAGCCATTTTTAGAGGCCGCGGTGGATTTTCCTTTAGAAATGTTGATACGGGAGCAAAAGGGTTCTTCAGCAGCCGTGTTAAGTTTGATGCTTCTCAATGTCATGGTGCAGGAGTTTTCAAGACATGATACCAGCAAATCTCAGACGTATCTTTCTTTTGTGGCGCACCGTCACTGCAGCGGCAACTTCAGGGAGGGGCCCCTTTTAAAAATTTTCTTGGCAGCATTAAAACAACTGGAAGGAATAACAACCGACTCTGTGCACATTTCAGAAGTTGTGAAGTTATTGGAGAGTTGTTTTCTTTTTGATTTTCGTGCCATCATGATGGATGAGACGGAGGGATTGCCATTTTCCCTGTTTCCAACGTCGTGGAGGAGTACATTGTTGAACAAGCAGAACCTCGGCACAGTATGGGGTCAACATGCAAGGTTACCCTATCCACACTGTGCGACCCTGCTTTCGGGCATTGTTAATATATGCAGCGTACATCGCACGCTGTTTGATTCTTCGGAGGAACGGGGGGAGTACCTGGAGTACACCCTTACAATGTTAACGGAGGTTACCATGATACAAGATGGTCGTCTTAAGATTCCACATTATGTTGAATTATTTGCCGAAGCGTGTACGCGGGTGTTGACATCATTTGGATATCGTGAGCTGCGTCTCCTCAAAGCCTTTGAGCCATGGGTGAATGCTCTTAGTATTTTGTCTGTGGAGGTGGTGTCTATTCCATTTGGTCAGGAAGGTAGCTTTTCAACAGCGAGCAGCATCTTGTCCTTTTGGGCTACATTGACCACATCCAAGCGGCGTTCCTACCATGATGCATCGCAGCGCGATATTGAAGATGTGGTGACGCAATTGTTGCAGAACTTTGTAAAGGCCCGTATTTGCAATTTGGAAATGAACGCGGTGGATCCTAACTTTTTGATCAATGACGATAGTCATGACCTGAACAACTCGGTGATTGCACAGTCCGCTTCCTACGCCACTATATGTTTACTGGATCCTCTGACATGTATAAGTGACCTTGTCACCCACCTCAACCAACATTTTGTTGCGCCGATTCTCTCGTCACCGCTTTCAACAGGGTGGCTTTTTTATCTTGTTGGAAGTGTAGTGGGGCCAGTGGTGGCCGCTGTGGAGGAGGGAGGGGTAGCAAAATGTTCCCACCTGCTTTCATTTGTCGTATGGTGCTCCACGAACCGACTGCGTGCTGGTGATAGGGATCCCGCAATGTTTGGACCCTTTGTGGAGTGCGGTTCGCTGCAATTTCTAACGCATTTACAGACAGTTTTTTCAGGGGCTCGCCAGGCGCCTCTTGCGACGATTGTTACAAATGTCTTTGGGAGCCACTCACAAATGTTTCAATTCATTTTGGATAGTGCGGGTCACAACTTGTTGCGGGGGGCTGAAGATGCGAGGGCGGTGGACATTATCCGTACATCGGCTGCTGTCATTACAGCTGCCTGTCGAGATGCAACACCGGAGTTACTGCAGGATTTAACGTTTGACCTTCCTCCATTCTCTGAGCTTCCATTGGCGCAGTCTGAGCGTACATATAAGTTACGCACGGATCTGATGAAGGCGTTATGGTTTATTCGTCGGTCCGAACCAACCACATACGAGCAGATGACTTCGTACCTCTCGGGTATTGAAGCAAACATGCAACAAACATTAAATAACGAATTGACAAGTACAAGTTTTGTTGCGGGTTGGTTGCGTGACTTGCGTGGTGCATGTCAGGCAATGAATGATGAGGGAAACCTTTTTAGCGATTTTTTGGAATGGGTTTGTGGTCATTCTCACGTCTTTGTGGATGTTCTGAATAAATCAGGGGAGTCTCCAGTTATAGTGAATGCACTGATGCGGTTTTTATGTGAACTTGTAGCCACTGGAAGGTATGGACGTTTTTATTTACGTCCAAGCGGTAATAGTGCTGTGGGTTTAGTGTTGTTTGTAAACCTCTGTGCTTTCATTGAAAAGGCTGAGGAGGCTGTTTTTTCAGACTACCGTATCGCCTCAATTGCTGAATCATCTTCCGACTGCGAAAAGACCCTGAAACCTTGGATGCTTTCTATGAATATTATGACTAAATGTATACGGGGCTCCTTTGTACCATTTGGGGCTATGATGTACTATAATGACAGGAAATATGAAAATAACGCCTTTCATTTAGTACGGAAACTTACAATGTTGGAGCCGAATGTGTTCAGGGAGCGCGCCAAGTTCAGGGCTGCCGCTCTGGATCTGCTCCGTTCCATGACAGAGGAGCAATTATATTTCCCTCTTACTCACCTGGAGAGCAACGAGCTGCTAAAACTGGTGGAAATTGTCGTGTCCATCTGTGAAGACGTGGATACCCCGCCAGATGTCCTGCTGCATGGACTGAGTTTTCTCGGTTTCATTGCAGGGTTGGTACGGGATGTGAAGGAGATTTTGTTTACCCCAACCATGCAGCCCTCCAGGGGCGACGCCGCCGCGCCACCGCCGTTATCTTTGTCCCACTCATTCGTGCCAATTCTCTCGTCCCCTTCTCCGGCATCTCGCGCTGGTCAAGCTTCCCCGATGTCGCGATTCACTCGGGAGGCAAATGGGAAACTCGCCCGTCTGCTTGCGCCTCATCAGGAATTGTGGCAGCACCTCATTTCAGTTGCGATGGGCATCATTGCATACCGCGATCACGCCGTGAGCGCAAGCAGTGGAGTGGTGTACCCTATTTTTGAGGCACACCCTCCTTTCTGGTATAACTTCGTGGAGCAGTTTGTAGCTTCGTACCCGAAAAGGAAGCAGTTGGGCATCCGTGAGGCATTGTCCATCCTCACAAACGCCTCGGAGTCACAAGAAAAATTTTTTTCAGAGGTTTTCACATTTCGTCAGGCCCTTCGACGCCTGAACACGTGATGGTTGCGGAATGAAAAGAGGAGAAGAAATAAATGTGTAGGGATGGACCCGTGCTGCGAGTATCTCCCACCATTATTATTGGTTGCGTGTGGCACCGCGTTGGTGTGCGAGCTTTTGTGTGAGTGTTGTTTCCAGGCGCGGGACTCCTTGAGGACGGGCGTTTCCTGGGGGGTGACGAAGAAGATTAGCGAAGAGGGGGAGAGTTGGTGGTGGTCGTTGCTGACACGGGTACACTCAGGGCAGTGGCACACATAACTGGTGAAATGGAAGGGATGCGCTAAAGAGGGGGGCTGAAAGGAAAGGAGAAGGAATGGCAAGCGAGGCATTATCGTGTGTTTATTTTGCTTGCTGGTGGTGTGCCAGCAGCTGCCCGGTCGTGGCGGTGGGAGCCCCGTCTTTTTTTATTTATTTTTCTTGTTGTTCTTGTGTGTTTCCTCGTGGAAGCGTGGAAGGCATGCAATTTTTATTTTTATTTTTGGTTTTGTTTTACTTGACGCTTCTTTCTTTAATCACCTCTTAGATGTACCTACCGCATATTATGCTTTGTCCTTTTGTTAGACTTAATGTTTTCCCTTTTTTTCCTTTATTTATTTTCTTTCTTTTCAGTGTTCCTGCGCCGTCACGTGAGATGGAATGCAGAGTGCACCGTGTGCTGTTGCTGTGACTGTGTATGACGGCCGCTGCTGTGGAGGATCGGTGTTTGTTTGTGTGTGTGTGTGTTTTGCTTCTCCATGCGGTTTTGGAGGGGGTTTTGCGTGTTGGGTGCGAATAACCCTCTACTCATTATTATTATTATTATTATTATTATTATTATTATTATTATTATTATTATCTGTTCTGAACAAACGAGAGATTTGCAAGGGAAGCGATGACGCAGGACTTTGCTGCGTATGAGGAGGAGTACAAGAGGCTGTTGGACCCCAACGAGCCCCTCGATAGCCGCATCCGGGAATTGTACCGGCTGAAGCAATCCATCTTTCGGACCCCCGCCGGCGTCCACGTGCTTGCGAAGGCCATTGACACAACCGACTCGGTACTTCTGCAACATGAACTGGTGTACAACATTGGCCAATGTGGCCTGGAGGAGGCCTGCCCCATTCTTGAGCGAGTCATCCATGCAACAGACGTGTACGACACCGTCACCCGGCACGAGGCGGTTGAGTCGCTTGGCGCAATTGCATCCTCCTCAAGTAAGCCCATTCTGGAAAGGTACATGGACCCCGCGCATGAACCCCACAAGGCTATTCGAGATTCATGTGAGTTGGCGTTGGAGCGTATTCGCATCCGCGAGTTACGTGGTGATGCGGCGTTGAAGCTGCCTTGCAATTGCCCGTATGTTTCCGTCGATCCTGCCCCTGCATTCTGCGACGCGAACACCGACGGTCCAGTACCATTCACTGTCGAAGAACTTGAACGTCTGCTGTGCGATACGACCGGTGCCACCTCACTCTGGCGCCGCTATCAGGCGATGTTCTCCCTCCGTAACATGGGTACAGAGGCGGCGGTGATGGCCCTCACGCGGGCACTGCGTGGGGACACAGTGAGTGCGCTGCTGCGACACGAGGTTGCCTTTGTCCTTGGCCAAATGGAGCACCCTTCGAGCCAGGCGGCACTCATAGAGGCGCTGAAGGACGAGACGGAGGCGCCGATGGTGCGGCACGAGGCGGCAGAGGCGTTGGGCGCCATCGCTGATCCCAAAGCGCTGGAGACACTTGCGAATTATGCCGAGCACAAGGAGCAAATCGTGCGTGACAGCTGCGTTGTGGCGATTGAGATGCACAAGTACTGGTCGCGGTTCAGGCAACATGGCGAGGCGGCTGCCTGAGGCGAAGAAGGCAGGCGAGGCGGCATCCACGAGAAGGAATCGAATAAGCGATGAAGATAAGAGCAAACCAAACATTAAAAAACAACAAACAAACAAAAAAAATCAAAAAAGGGAAGGGTGTGTTGGGAGAACAAGCGCGATATATATATGCATATATATGAATGTATACTGCGTGAAGGAGGTAAGAGGGGGCCGGATGACGTCCACACACGCAAAAGAAGGGAGAAGAAAGAAAGAAGTTAAATCGGTACCTGCAGGCGTAATTCATTTAAACCAACGAATACGAATAAATAAGAGAGAAGGAAGGGCATTCATTAATATCAACATCAATAATAACAATAATAAAACGATAATGAGTGATAACAGAAGGGGAGGAGGAAGCACTGCTGATAAAAAGGTGCGGGAGAGAGGCGGGGGATAAAATGTGGCACGGCAGCCATTTACTGTGAGTTGTGAATTTTCCGTCATCCCCTACCAGATGAACATTTGCGAACTTTACACGCAAAACAATACAAACATACACTCTCTGTTTTTACCGGGGAGTGAAGTGGAGAAAAACGTAACGCATGCGGCACACCAGACATCTGGTTGACGGCCTTTGCTGTGGATGGACGCCAGTGGATGAAGCAGGAGGAAGAGCTCAGCGGTGGAGTGAAGTGGGAAAGGAGTGTTTTTTTTTTTTTTTTTTTTTGGCCGGATGAATTGCCATGGGCCATTTATATTTTTATTTTTATTGGTCCCTACGGCTGACGTGCAATGACCGATACACAAGTGCGCTCTTGCGCCTTGACGTTGGAGGTGGTGGTGTGTGAGTGCGTGTGGACATGTGGATAGGAATGATCCCACTTCCCTTATATTATATGTATTCCCCCCCCACAGCAATTTTCTTCTTTACGTCAAAAGTGAGTTCCATTTTATTTATTTATTTATTTATTATTGTTTTTGTTGTTGTTGTTTCATTATTATTATTTTGTTGGCTTTTATAGCAGCTGGTTTTTTCTTTACCACAGCTGGATACTTTGGTGGAACGCATGTTTCTCTCTCTCTCTCTCTCTTTCTTTTCTCCTGCTGCTGCTGCCGGTGGTGGTACCATGAAAGGAAATGGGTCGATACGGAGCCTATGATCTTTACGTTGCGCCTTTTGTGCGTGATTTCACGGTGCTCTTGCCGATGGTGGCGGTGTGGTTCGTTCTGCAGTGGGCGATGCCGTCTTTGTACACGCGAATATTTGGTGCGTACTTTACACGACTGTCTCCAAAGAAGCGAGAGGATGTCGTTGTGCGCAGTGTGAGTGTTCTCAACAGTTTTCTGATGACCGGCGCGGCGGCCTGCTTTCTTTCCAACCTCTATGCTCATAACTTTACATTGCCTGGTGAGTATTATGGGGATATTCCCGGTTATTGCTTTTTTCGCATTTCCATCGTTTCCTACTTTGTCTGGGACATCGTTGTCTGCTTCATGTATGGCTGGGGAGAGCTGTGGAAGATACACGCCATCGCCAGCTTATTAGGGGCGTATCTTTTATCCTTCCCCTTCTCGGATCACTACGCATCGTACTTTACAGGTATGTTTGAGCTGAGCAACGCCCCGCTGCATCTCTCCGTCATTATGCGGACCCTTGACGTCAAGGCGCTTAATCCTTTTGTCATGGCCATGGAAGGAGCATTTGCGTTACTTTTTGTCGTCATTCGTGTACTTGGCGGTACCATCGTGGCGGCCGCGTGGTTGAAGTTGAGTTGCATTCGACTGGTGGCAAATTACTACACCGGCGGACGGCTGCTGCACGGCGAGGTTCCAGTCGTGATAGCGATGACGCTTATTGTAGTGATTCAGTTGCTGCAGTACATTTGGTGTGTGGAGGTTGTGAGAAGAGTCATTGAGGTCCTTGCGCCCTCCGCAACGACGAGGTGGAAGGCGAAGCAGGTCCGCACAGATGCCATTCAGCTCGACAAATGACCGTCACGACCAGGAGGGGAAAAGGGGGGGGGGGAGGGGGATCGAAAGGGGGAAAAATAGAGAAGGAAAAATAAAACAAAAAAAACAAAAAACAAAAATCGGAACGAAAAACAAAAACAAGAAACACACACACACAAAAAAAAAAAAAAAAACAAAAAAAAAAACGAACTTTTAAGGACATTTTTGTGTCCGTGAGTGCGTGGGGAAGAAATTAAATGACGAATGGAGGGGAGGAGTTGTAATGGAAATTAACTCAAAAAAACAAAAAAACGAAAGAAAGAAAAAAAAAAAAACATTATTGTTGCCGTGTTGACCGTCTGTTTGTGTCTGCTTGTTTGTCTGTAGGGGAAGGCGATATTTGTGTCTTGGACGATGTGCCTTCCTTTTTTTTAAATCCGCACTTGGGGCGTACATGACATGTGCTTACAGTACGAGAATACAATGAATTCAATTTCAGTGGATGCAATCTGCATTGGGGGGGGGGGGGAAAGAAAAAATTTTTTTTTTTTGTTTTTTTTGCGTCACACCCAAATGCACATGCTTATATCTATCTATCTATCTATATATGTATTTGTGTGTGTATGTGTGTTTGTGTTGCGAAAATAATGACAGCATGGAATTATACATTATTTTTATGCCTTTATTGTTTAGACTTTACCTTCATTCAGTTAATTCCTTTTACCCACTTACCCACCCACCGCCTACGCCTTTTTTTTTTTCTTTTCTTTTCTTTTCTTTTTGTTTCCTTCTGTTGTTGTGGGCCACGCTCCCTCCATTGTGCGTGTGTGCGTATATGTATGATGTATCTCTCTCTCTCACTCTGCGTGTGTGTGTGTGTGTGATGTGGGGGAGGGGGGTTGAAGAGTCATTGCTGTTGCTTTACATTTCACTGGGGCTGTTTGGAGTTGTTTTGCCACAAATTTTCTGTCGATATCATTTTTTTTTTTCACCCCTCTTCCTCTTCCTCTTCCTCTTCTTTTTCTTCTTCTTTTTCTTCTCTTCAACACAAGTCAGGCGAGGAACAGCAGGAAAAGGGGGCGGGAAGGGTGGGTGGGAGAGAGGGGTGGCGTCGTTCGTCATTCACTCACTCATCTTTAAATAAAAAGTAATAAAAATAAATTATTTCTCCCTTTGCGGTAATACATAGATTTAACCAAACATAAAGAATTTCACTCCCCTCTCCCAGGCGGGGAAAGGAAGGAATAGAAATAAGGAGAAGGTAATAAATAAAGATAAGACAACAACAAGAAGAGTCACAAGGAATAACGTGAGGGCAGGAGAGGCACAATCCATAGATGTCCAGGCTTCCAATATGGGGCGATTCGCAACAAGTATGGCCTGGAAACACCGACCATATCAGTGACACTCGAGTTTGCACGGATCAGAATGCCGCTAATCATGGAAGTACCGGGCGTCGAGTATTACATATGCACACTGATAGTGCCACGGGGCGGTTGTCAAGTGGTGACTCTTTTACACATTGCCACGCACTTCCTCTTCCCATGGAGATTGTAAATTTGGGTAACGTTGAGGGCATTAGCGACTGGTCAAAGTCACCTGGCCAATATGCGATGAAATGTATTCAACGTTATACGGGCAGCCCGACTTTCCACACGAGTGATACGATCCCCTTTTCTTCCGATTCCCCAAGAAGGGGGAATAGCTCTGCTGCACCTGCAATCACCACCATTTTGGCGCCGCCGGAGGAACCGCGCGGCCAATTTGATGTTTGTGGTGGGACGAGAGGTGACAGCGGGGGCCTGGCGTCATACCTGGCGGAGGAAATGCCGCGTGGGCGATTCATCGTCATGAACCTTCTCTCCACATGGGGTGCTCCAGAGGAGGTGGGGATAAATGGTATGGAATTCTTCAATGAGAACGGTGACCGCATCATTCCCCCTGCGGAGTGCCTAAAAAAGCCATCGAGTTTACTTCAATCACCACCGGGATCAACGGGTGGCAAAATACCACAGGAAAAAAGTAAGATCGTGGACGGATACCACACAATTTTGTACACCACCCCTCAGAGCAGCCTTTCTCTGATGGTGGCGTATCCCGTCGAAGGCAGCAGTAGTGATTCCGCTAATGCTTCTGCTGGGACGGATGAAGTCCCTCGATCTGATTTGGCCAACCTGGTGAATGGGATTCACAACACGCACGATGACACGAAACTCTTTACGATGCCGTTTAATCCCGACAAGCACCATTTGATTTGCTTTGCCTTTCCCAAGAGTGTTGTCATATCTATGGTGCGAGTACACAATTATGGGGGTCGTGGGCGGGTGCACACGAGTAAAGGGGTTCGTCTTCTTGAAATGACGGTTGATGACGAACTTGTGTTTCGCGGAGAAATTGCCCCCAATAATGGTGATGTGGTGCCCTTTCATCGAGTTGGTTTGGAAAACTGTGAAAACATCCTTTTTACGGAGGAACCAAGGGTACTCCGACGACTACTGGCATGTCCTGCAACGGAGACATCCGTTCAAGGTAGAGCCTGGGGGAAGGAGCGAAGGACGACCATTGGGGTTTTACCACGTGAGATTATTGGTCATTCAACGACCATTTCGACAGTTTTATTTGGTACTGTCAAAGAAGATAAGTCAAAGCGCATGGGAAGCGAAAGAAGTGTGTTGATCCCTGCTGCTGTTCCAGTCCATGCGAAAGGAAAGCATATTATTGCCCAAAATAGTCTGGGGAATTTTGAAAATGCTACCGCTACTCCGGTTACAGGAATTGGATACCAAACATCGGGTTCTCTGAGCATGTCTTCTAGATACCCCCAAAATGTGACCTCACTTTGCTTTCTTTTGCTTGGTACTTGGGGTGATACAGAGAAAATCGGTCTGAGTGGACTTCGTTTTCGGAACGCGCAAGGTGAAATGGTGAGTCAACGTATTGCTCATTGGTACGTTCGGTTTCCATCGCAGAGACATGAGAGTGATGTGGGGGAAAAATGGGAAGATCAGCTTGTGTACCTCTTTGATGAGAATGCTGAGACCGCCTTCACACTTCCGTGTGAACGAGGCATTGAGGTTATATTTATTTTTGACACCCCCCTGCCTACATTGGGGTTTGTGGAGGTGGCAAATTACTCCCTTGGTGAGCACACCTTCAGTGGGGTGAAGGAGGCACGTTTGTTTCTTTCTTCCGCCACGCCCAATTGGTCCCCCGACGCCCTTGTCGCAGCCTATTCGGCATTATGGGAAATAAATACTGCCACTAGCTGTACGAAATTGAATTTGCATGGTATCTTTGAAGCTACGCCGGAGGAGGGCGTCAGTCTACGCAAGGCCCCAGCATTTCTCTCTATTCCACGGTTTCAGGTGTATGACTTGTCGTTAGCCGCGGAATTGCGTGCTTTCGAAGGCTGTAGCGGTGCCTTGCGCAATTCATTAACGCATAGTTTAAGTGCCTCCATGACCATACGGGCAGAGATGGCACTGCGGCGTGCTCGCATGGCATTGAAGCCACGGCCGGAATGGTTTCTGGAGTATCAGTCTTACCTCACCCCACTTCTTCCAGTTGCGTATGTGTTAAAGGTATCCCTTGGTATCTGCGCGAGGAGTGCGATGGATCTGAGGAAGTACGCGAAGAAATGGATGGTGAATCCATTACGCGCCTGCACATTTGCGGATGAGAATGGGGAGACCATTCAAGTGTTTAGTCGTGATGGGGCAAAAGACACGGAGGGGCATGGAGGGGATTTTGCTGGTGGCGTTTCAAGGAGCGAGAACACCCACGCCTTTGTGACGGAGTGTCTGTTTACACCACGCCCCAACGCCCTGCAAGAAGATGAGGAGGCTGCTGCGGTTGCTGCTCAAGCGGGTATTCGCGTCTCATTGTTTCAGGCTTCTTTGTCTTTGGTGTATGTCTTTGATTCCCCTTTCTGTCTCTCGCTTTTGACGCTGAACCGCCCGCTGCTTCAGGAAGAAGAGTGCGCAGCGTGGGTGCGGCAGATCCGTGTGTTCATGGACGATGCGTTGGTCTTTGACAGCGGGGATGTTGGCGTCCCGCGACGCGCCCCACCAGCCACGGTGGGTCCATCTTCCCCTTTGCGACCAGCCGGCGAGGGTTTCTTGCCGTTTGCCGTGGGGGGAGGAGGCGCCGGCAACGCGGTGCACCGCATGCGTCTGAAACCTCTTGTCTTCTTCACCCTCGACACCGTGCAGTTGGAGGAAGCCCGTCGTGAGATGATGGTGGCAGGGTAGGGCACATGCATTGCAGCAGCAACAGTAAAGGCATGGGTGTGCGCATGCATACATGTATACATGTATATTTAAATACATGCACGGAAGTTGTGGGGGATAAAATAAATTGAATGAGAGAAGCGACGACACACTGCGGAGAGTGGAGGTGGGAACGTTTTGGGGGGAAAAGATATATTTTATGCATACACTTTGGACGCTTACTTTTTATTTTTTTAAAAAACTCTTTTCTGTGACCATTCTCACTGTTTCTTTTCTTCTCTCTGTGTATATGTGGCGCTCATGAAGAAAACATACATGTTTCCTTCTACTTCTTTTTTTTTTTTCTTTTTTAGGAGGTTTAGGGAGTTATCAACTCTTTTTCTTTTTTCTTTTTTCTTTTTTCTTTTCTTTTCTTTTACTGTAGTTTTTCTTCTTACATTTGATACCGCTGTTTTTTTTTTTTTTTTTTTTTTTGCTTCCTTCTTATTGTTATTATTTATTGTGTGTTTTTGTGTTTCTCTGCTTGCCGCCGTTGGGGCCTCTGCGGACATTTATATAAAAATACGTGTTGTTTTCCCCTTTTGCGCGTGGGAAATAAGTGGCGGAAGGAAAACGGGTGGCGGTGGTGTTTTGCTGGCAAATAAATATTGACTCCGTACGTTGTCGTCGTGTGTGTGTGTGTCTGCCTATAGTAATATATATAGTAATATCTATATATTACCGTTTGAGGCGAATTGAATTATCTTGCATACATACTTACATACATACGTTAGGTTTGCATATACATATATATATATTATCTTTACATTGTTTTACTGACTTAACTCCCCTGCGGTACACGGCCTTCAATTGTGTGAATACATTGACGCAGGGGATAGGCAGGGAGAGGCAGGGAGAGGCAGGGAGAGGCAGGGAGAGGCAGGGCAGGGCAGGGCAGGGCAGGGCGGGGGGGGGGGGGGGAAATTTATTTTATTTTATTTTCTTCTTCCTCTTGTTGTTGTTATTATTATTGAATTCCCTTCAATATTGAGGGGGGAAGCATCGATACATAAGTACACGTACACGCAGCCATCACGCCGCCTTGTTTGAGAAACTTCGCCTAACAGGAGCAGCAGCAGCAGGAGCGGAAAAGAAAAAGAAAAAAAAAAAAGGAAGTAGACGGGAGGGGAGGGGGGAGGAAAAAAAAAAAAAAAGAAGAAAAAGTGAACAACAACGAAGATAAAAAAAAAAAAGAAACAAAAAAAAAAAAAGAGAAAAACTGTCAAAACACAATAAAGAACAACAATAACAAAATTGCGTGCCTTTGCGCACTTGAGAAGAAAACCCAGAGAAGAAGAAGAGACGAGGAAACAGGCAGAAAAAACAACGGGGAAGTGACAGAAAGAAAGAAAGAGGAAAAGACACCGTCTCTATTCATTTATTCAGTCAGTCAGTCAGTCCTTCTCTCTCTCTCTCTCTGTGTGTGTGTGTGTGTGTGCCTCTGCGGTGGTGGCAGCGCGTAAAACAGTGGCACGAAGACTGCTGAGATAATTTTCCCTTCCGAAAAAGAGAAGAAGAAAAAAAGAAAAATAACGACGGAAAAAGAAGAAAAGGGGAAGATCAATCAAAAGCGGATAAACAACGATTGTTATAGGGGAAGAGAACACATCCAGGACGATTCTTAAGAGGGAAGACCGTTGGGAAAAAGCAATAGAAACAGAAAAAGGGAAGAGAGAAGTGTATTTTCACGGCGCATCGGTCTTTCCGTGCCGTTGATTTATCATGTCTTTGGAGCATGTGGCGGAGGTGAAGGGCGGGCCAGGGGCCCTGCGTGTGGGGGAAATGGTGGTCGTCATGACACGACGTGTGGAGGAGCAAACGGCTCACTGGACACTCGGTAGCGTGGAGTCGGCACCGTACCTGTACGATGTGGAGATTCGGCTTTGGGAGAAGCAGATGGATGTGGACTGGCAGGAGCAATTTAACGTGGGTGAGTCACAGGAGGAGGGTGAGCTGATAATGCACATCAAAAAAACAAAAGAGGAACTGGAAGGGAGCATCCAGCATGTGACGGAACTTACTAAGAAACTGCGCCAGCGTCGGAGAAGTATCCTACGGGAAATTGACGATGTTGAAAATCATGCTTCTCAATCGCGTGCGGCAGTAAAAGCGGCTTACATTGATGTGAAGGGCATCTCGTACCATCACTGGCATGAGCTGAAGTCGTACCGGGCTCCTTCAAGGATGGTACTGACAATTCTCCGTGCCGTCATGCTGCTTCTCTCCGAGGATGATGCCAAAACGTGGCCTCAAATGCAACGTGTCTTGCGGGATCCGCACTTTAAGTCGAGGATTCTTGACTATGATCCCGACAAAGAACTCTCAAGAGAGCGTGGCGATTACATACTATACGAATGTGTGCGGAAGAAAAGTTTTCGTTACGACCGTGCCGTTCAAGGCAGTCAGGCAATGGGCCCCATTTACTACTGGGTACTGGCTCAACTTGACAGGAGTGAGGCCACAGGAAAACAATACCAGTTAGAGAAGCGAAAACAGGAATCACAGAAGGAGCTTCGATCTGTCATAAATGAAATTCATAAACAGCAACAGCGTATGGCGGAATATCAGGCTCTCATGGACAGTGCGGACGACCAGTTGCATGCCTACCGAGCGCTGCAGAGAGAGAGCGCATCACTCCGGGGAGGACAATTGACGGAAACTCGGCTTCGTGAAGTGGCACAACAACGCTACGAAACCAGTTTCGCTGGTGCTGCAGGGAAGGAGTATTTACGTGCCGCCTTTTACACGTGGAAACCAACAGAATACCGCATCATGGTGTTGCGTAAAAGCGTCCTTGTGAATTTTGGCACCGTCCCACAGGATGCATGGGACAAGAACAATTACACGCTCGATGAACCACAAATCCGAATGCTTGATGACGCACTTCAACAACGTCAGAGTGTGGAGGAAACGTTTTATGAGAAGGAAAGCGAGCAACAACAACAACAACATAAGAAAAAAGAGGAAGAGGAAATAGAAGAGGGCCTGTTCCACCCAGTCGATGAGAATTATGTACCAAAATCCAAAATGTCCGTGGATTGGCTTGAGCGCACGTTCGAGGGCGAAGACTGGAAATACATACTGGATAGAAAACGTCTTGCCATCATGGACACGTTCTGCGATGAGACGGCCGAGGCATTGCAGTTACCGCGAAGTGATATTTCTATAACGCAAATGACATGTGGCGAATCAAATAACCTCTTGATGGTGAGCAGTGAAGTGTGGCACGACGGCTCACGGTCAAGAGGGGACCTCATGGACGCCATGAACGCTTATTTGTATCCAAAGTTAAGCGCACTATACAGCAATGAGTTGGACGGTTTCGCTAAACTTGAAAAACGCTTTGACGGGAAAGATTGGCAATACATCCTCACTGACCACAAGAACGATATAGAATATGCCTTTAAAAATGACACGGCGACGGCTCTTGGCAAAACCATGGAGGACACCGAAATACAAAATATAACAGCAACTGCAGAAGCACTTGTCATAAAATACTTACTGTACATAAAAGAAAATCAAACAAAAAAGGCGAAAAAGGCAATAAGCAACTACAAATATCCAGAAATATGTCAATTATACAGTCGACTGAAACCAAACACAAGCACCGAAGATAAAATATACTCAACAAAACGTATAGAATTAGAAGGCGAGGACTGGGACTACGTGCTGGAGCGGCGGCGCGCGGAGGTGAAGGACGTGCTGGCCGTCGAGACGGCGCGGGCGTTGGGACTCGAGCGTGAGGACGTGCTGGAGGTGGAGGTCGACGCAGTGCCTCGGAGCCTCATTGCGTTTGTCACGGTTCGTCATCCATCACTGCTGAGCGACCGCCAGGTGGAAGAGACGCTGGCGCGCTGCGAGTACAGGAAATTGTGGGCGCTGTACGAGACGCGGCCACTGGAGTCGTCAGTGCTGATGAGGCGGTTTGAGGGCGACGACTGGGACCTCGTGGTTGACAACAACCGCAGGAAGCTTGAGGACGCGTTCAGCAGGGAGACGGCCGCCGCACTGGGCGTGTCGCCGAGGCAGGTTGTGCTTCTGGACTGCAGGGTTGGCAGCCTTCTCATGGTATTCAAGGTGCTTGGATGCGCCATGAGCGACGCAGAGATCACGGAACGGACCGAGGCGCACCCGTACGACGAGGTGTACGCACTGTACAGGCCACGCATACGCTCCTTTGAATGCGTCGACGCAGCAGTGCCCCGCGGCTTCAGGGCCGACGCGGATGAAGTATGGACGAGGAGCCGCGTGGAGTTTGAGGGCGAGGACTGGGACTACGTGCTGGCGATGAGGGAGGCGGATCTGCTGCGTGCGTTTTCGAACGCGACGGCCGAGGCGTTTGGAGTGGATGAGGACCACGTGCGCGATGTGTCGGCGAGGTACGTTGCTGGTAAATTGCACTTCGACTTCGAGCTGAGGCGCCCTGCGGCGCTGACGAAGGCTGATGTAAATGCGCGGTTGAAGGAGTGTGCGTATGCGGCCGTGTGGGCGCTGTATGAGCCGCGGCCCCTGCAGGAGGAAAAGAAGGCTGTTACGACGCACGAGCTTGGCTTTGAGGGCGAGGACTGGGACTACGTGCTGGAGCGGCGGCGCGCGGAGGTGAAGGACGTGCTGGCCGTCGAGACGGCGCGGGCGTTGGGACTCGAGCGTGAGGACGTGCTGGAGGTGGAGGTCGACGCAGTGCCTCGGAGCCTCATTGCGTTTGTCACGGTTCGTCATCCATCACTGCTGAGCGACCGCCAGGTGGAAGAGACGCTGGCGCGCTGCGAGTACAGGAAATTGTGGGCGCTGTACGAGACGCGGCCACTGGAGTCGTCAGTGCTGATGAGGCGGTTTGAGGGCGACGACTGGGACCTCGTGGTTGACAACAACCGCAGGAAGCTTGAGGACGCGTTCAGCAGGGAGACGGCCGCCGCACTGGGCGTGTCGCCGAGGCAGGTTGTGCTTCTGGACTGCAGGGTTGGCAGCCTTCTCATGGTATTCAAGGTGCTTGGATGCGCCATGAGCGACGCAGAGATCACGGAACGGACCGAGGCGCACCCGTACGACGAGGTGTACGCACTGTACAGGCCACGCATACGCTCCTTTGAATGCGTCGACGCAGCAGTGCCCCGCGGCTTCAGGGCCGACGCGGATGAAGTATGGACGAGGAGCCGCGTGGAGTTTGAGGGCGAGGACTGGGACTACGTGCTGGCGATGAGGGAGGCGGATCTGCTGCGTGCGTTTTCGAACGCGACGGCCGAGGCGTTTGGAGTGGATGAGGACCACGTGCGCGATGTGTCGGCGAGGTACGTTGCTGGTAACTTGCATTTCGACTTCGAGCTGAGGCGCCCTGCGGCGCTGACGAAGGCTGATGTAAATGCGCGGTTGAAGGAGTGTGCGTATGCGGCCGTGTGGGCGCTGTATGAGCCGCGGCCCCTGCAGGAGGAAAAGAAGGCTGTTACGACGCACGAGCTTGGCTTTGAGGGCGAGGACTGGGACTACGTGCTGGAGCGGCGGCGCGCGGAGGTGAAGGACGTGCTGGCCGTCGAGACGGCGCGGGCGTTGGGACTCGAGCGTGAGGACGTGCTGGAGGTGGAGGTCGACGCAGTGCCTCGGAGCCTCATTGCGTTTGTCACGGTTCGTCATCCATCACTGCTGAGCGACCGCCAGGTGGAAGAGACGCTGGCGCGCTGCGAGTACAGGAAATTGTGGGCGCTGTACGAGACGCGGCCACTGGAGTCGTCAGTGCTGATGAGGCGGTTTGAGGGCGACGACTGGGACCTCGTGGTTGACAACAACCGCAGGAAGCTTGAGGACGCGTTCAGCAGGGAGACGGCCGCCGCACTGGGCGTGTCGCCGAGGCAGGTTGTGCTTCTGGACTGCAGGGTTGGCAGCCTTCTCATGGTATTCAAGGTGCTTGGATGCGCCATGAGCGACGCAGAGATCACGGAACGGACCGAGGCGCACCCGTACGACGAGGTGTACGCACTGTACAGGCCACGCATACGCTCCTTTGAATGCGTCGACGCAGCAGTGCCCCGCGGCTTCAGGGCCGACGCGGATGAAGTATGGACGAGGAGCCGCGTGGAGTTTGAGGGCGAGGACTGGGACTACGTGCTGGCGATGAGGGAGGCGGATCTGCTGCGTGCGTTTTCGAACGCGACGGCCGAGGCGTTTGGAGTGGATGAGGACCACGTGCGCGATGTGTCGGCGAGGTACGTTGCTGGTAACTTGCACTTCGACTTCGAGCTGAGGCGCCCTGCGGCGCTGACGGAGGCTGATGTAAATGCGCGGTTGAAGGAGTGTGCGTATGCGGCCGTGTGGGCGCTGTATGAGCCGCGGCCCCTGCAGGAGGAAAAGAAGGCTGTTACGACGCACGAGCTTGGCTTTGAGGGCGAGGACTGGGACTACGTGCTGGAGCGGCGGCGCGCGGAGGTGAAGGACGTGCTGGCCGTCGAGACGGCGCGGGCGTTGGGACTCGAGCGTGAGGACGTGCTGGAGGTGGAGGTCGACGCAGTGCCTCGGAGCCTCATTGCGTTTGTCACGGTTCGTCATCCATCACTGCTGAGCGACCGCCAGTTGAAAGAGACGCTGGCGCGCTGCGAGTACAGGAAATTGTGGGCGCTGTACGAGACGCGGCCACTGGAGTCGTCAGTGCTGATGAG